TGCGTGCGGAAGCCCATCCTTCTCGGATATCGGGACGATGTAACTGGTCTCTGGCAACCAGGAGATAGTTGCCCGTGGAGATCTGGGATGGGAGTTCGTGGTGAGTGGATTGGTAAATTTGATGATATTCCATAATAAAATAGAAAGTACTTTATCTATTTGTCGTTTGACTGTCAAAACAGCAATGCAGCACCCTGACTCACGTTCAACGGGCCCCACCTCAACTGTGCCAGCTCACACTCCTTAAATACGTTCTCGTCCCAAGATCCTTCGGCCCAAACCAGCCAGCCAAACATATTCAAGCTCACCCGTTTGCTACTTGGTGGTGATTCCATGCGCAAGGTGATCAACATGTTTGCGAGGCTCCGCCCATCCAATTTGTCTTCAATCCGCCTGGGCTGAAACTCTGTAGAATTATCGATCAATTCTTATAGTATTCTCAAATGACTAAATATTTGGACACCAATAAACCTTAAAATAATAATAAACATGCCAACCAAACTGGTCAAGGTGCCGTATCTCTCCTCTGTGCCCACCCGAAACCTTCTCCGACGTCAAGTGCGGTGCCAATACGATGGCAATGGCAGTCGTGGGGTTCCGGCTCAGGACCTTGTGAATGACTGCAGTGGCAAAGTTAAGCTGCTTGTTGTCCATCCGACCAAACTTGGTCATGTCTGCCCAAACAATGAAGCCAGTGGTTCCAGCGGCACCGGTGGGCTTGCGAGCAGCCACGAACTGCCAAAAAAAGGTTAAGGTTAAAGCTTTTAACTCAACGCAATCTGAACTTTTGTGATCATGTAGCAACTGAAATTTGAAAACCATTTAATTTCAATTCAATGTAGTTGAGAATGGGCTCACAGACACACGATTTTTAAATCCATCGGGCCTGATCTGTGATCGTCAGAAGATCCACCTCTGTGCCAGCGCGGTGGCATGCATTCCTGTTCATGAAGTCCTCAATGATGCTTCCGCCAATTGTGTTCTCTGAGCGCATGTGCATGATCTTCTTCATCCTCTCTGCCTTTTGGCTCTGCTGCGATGCTGCCAAAAGCCGCCCCAAGGACGCCACGTCCCGTGCTAATTGGAGAGTGTCATGCTCCCATGCCTTGCGGCGAGCGTCCACGGACAGCGCTTCCAGCTTTGAATCTGCTTTCTGCAATGCATCGTCTGCAGGGGCATCACAAACAGGCTTCTGCCTGAAATCGTTCCAAAGCGCCATGTCCTTGCAGTCGAAGCTGGGATCTTTGGTGTTCAAGGTCTCCGACACTTCAGCCAGAAAGTCCCTGCGATTGTTGCTACTGCTGTCAAAGTTAGATCAAATTCACACTTACTCAATGACAAAAAACAAAAAATTTAATGTTAATAACAGAGTTTATTGAACATAATCCATGGCACCCTTCCACCATTCCCAGTCTGACCTTAGCAACCACATCTGGTGGGAACTCGTCACTGAAGGACTCCATCTGAGCCAGCACGAAACCCTGGAGACACATACGATCAATCTCCAAGGTCAACTGATCGCCGCTGAGCCGTGTGATGCATGATTTTCCTGCACGACGGAGTTGAATGTCGTGCAGGTAGAAAAGCCGATCGAGCAGCAACACTTGCTTGAACTCAGTGACCATCAGAATCTGATGCCACAGGCCGCTGCTTGTTTTTGCCACGCTGCCAATCAACCATCGAGTGTCTGACATGCTCGATGTGCTGAAAGCTGTCAGGGCGGGCTGAGAAATTGAAACTGATTGTGATTGAGAAGCGCACGACGACGGGTGAATAGAATGGCATCACGCAAACTGGAGCACGTGCGAACAGGAGTATGGTTTTTTGTGATATCCCCTTGCCCCCTGCCTGATCCCTGGAAGGAGCACTTGTGGAAGTGACGCTCAAGCATCCTCCATGCCTGAAGGCAAATGCCCACCTGACCAGGTCTATAATTGAAACGATGTCTAGAATTGAACATCTCAGTGTACCCATGGTTGAATTTTAGTAGACAATACAATAATATTAGAAAAATGTTCAAAAGCACAGTCAAGCAACTTTCATGCCATAGAGTTCAAGAGCCTGCTCAGGGTCAATCTGGAACTTGGCGTTCCCAGCTGCATGGCCAAAGCGGTTGAACTCCTCAATTCCATCCAGGAAAGCTGCCTTGTAGCCATCCGGTCCAGAGTACTTATGAGGATCCTCCCAGGGTTGCCAATGACTTCTCAGCATGTTGTGCCATGAAACTCGAATGCTCCTAGTTTGCACTATGAGGCTTTGAAGTACAGTATACAGTTACTTACTGTTTTGGTCGTTAAAACAATTCAATGTTAACAGCCACTGTGCCTGATGCACCTTTTCATCTGCACGCTTTGAAAAGGTAAGCGCTTTTTGCATTGGGCTCTTCCGCTGTCGCTCACTCTGACTTTCGTGAACTTGCAATCTCCGCCAATCGTAATGATGGCTATGTGATTGCAGCACCACCACAACAAAGATCGAAGTCACTGTTTTCAGCCACCTGGAAGTCAAACGACGATATTTTGGCAAATATATACGACGACGTTTTGGTATTATGGCAAACATACGATATGATGGTTTCGGTCGGAGGATGATATTTTGTGGGGCTCAGGGACGATGGTTTGGGTCGGAGGATCACGGGACGTGATATTTTG